GATGGGATCTTTTGAGCAACAAAACTTTTAATTGTTAATGTATTTTAACTTTCAATTTTTTCTTCAGGAGTAGTGCTTTTTTCAGTGTGACTTATATTTAAAAAATCTTTTCTTCAAGATCATAGTGATACATTCCTATGTTTTCTTCTAGAATAGTGCTTTGCTCTTCTCATTAAATCTACAGTTTATCTGGAATTAATTTTTTACATTATGTAAGGTAGAGATCAAAACTCATTCTTAATCCTATACGTATTCACTTGATCCAGCACATTTGAAAAGGCCACATACATGTGGTTAAATTTCTGATCTCTATTCCTTTCAGTTAGGCACTTTTTCTATTCTTGTGCTAATACCAAATTATCTTGATTACTATAGCTATAAAATAATTGTGATATCTGGTATTATAATTAACCCAGCTTTGTTCTTCATCTTCAAGATTGTTGATACTATTTTTAACCTTTTGCACTAACAAATAGATTGAGTGTCAAATGATTTTTTCCACTAATACCCTTTTGAGATTTTGATGCAAATTACATTGATCAGTTTGGGGAGAAGTGAAATCTCTTCATGGGGTGGGGGGAATTCCACTGTGTGATTCTGATATTTTTCTAAATGATACTTTAATGGGTTTTAGAGTAGAGGTTTTTGTTAATTAGATCTGTAACTAGGAATTTGATTTCACTGATGCTGGTATACGTAAATAAAATTTATTATTCTATTTAAATGAATCCTAATAACTTTTCCTTACATTATTTTGAATTTTGATTTAACAACATGTGTCATTTATGAATAATGACAATTTTTTGTCTTTTAAAATTGTTGTACTTTTCTTTTTCTTACTTAATACTTTGACAAAATTCTACAATAAAATACCGAGTGGAAGTGATATTTTTGAGTAGAAGTTGGCATCCATGTTCAGTTTCCCATTCCTTGGGAAAAGCTTTAAATATTTCCCCATTATATTTGATATTTGCTGTAAGATTTTAATGAGATTCAAGAAGGTCTATGTTTCTTCCTAGTTTGATGAAATTTTAAAATCATGAATGGATGTTGAGTTGTATCAGTTTTTTGTTCTGTACACATGGATTTAACCATATGATATTTCTCTTTTATTCTACTAATGTGGTAAATTGTATTGATTTTAAATGTTAAAATTATCTTACATTCCTTTAATAAACTCAGCTATCATGATGCATTATCGTTTTAACTATCTCTGGATTCAGTTTGTTAAATGTGTAGAATTTTTGCATCTATATTCATGAGAGAAAGAAAGAGTGTCTTTTTTGTTTTTGTAACGTTTTTATTTGCTTTTGTTATTAGTGTTTTGCTGGCTTCATAAAAAGTGTTAGGAAATGTTTTTCTCCTTTTTCTATTTGATGTTTTTTATTTTCCCTTTTTGTGATATCTTTGTCAAGCTTGATTTCAGTGTTTTTATGGCCTCATAAAATGTGTTTGGAAGTATACCCTCATTTTCTGTTGTTTGAAAGAATATGTACATTATTGGTATTCCTTTTTCTGTACGTGTATAGAACTGTTCACATTTGTGTCATCAGGGTTAGCAGTTCCTCTGTGTGTAGGTTTTGAATTACAATTTCTGTTTCTCTACTAGATTTAGAACTATTCCAAATTTAATGCTTTCTTGTGTCAGTTTTGTTAAATTGGATTTTTCTTGGAATTTGAACATGTCTCCTAATTTAAAAATATTTGTATCAAATTGTTCATAATAGCATCTTTTATTTATTTAATGTTTTTTGAATGTGTAGTGATGTTGTCTTTTCCTTGATTTGGGTAATTTGTTCCTTCTCTTTTTTTGTTTTTGGTCAGACTTGCTAATGAGCTATCAATTTTACTAGTCTTTCAAACAGTAAACTTTTTTTTTTGTTTACTTTCTAGGCTGTATGTTTGCTTTTCTTTTCCATTAATTTTTCTCCTTATTCTTATTGTTTCTCTCCTTTACATTCCTTAAGTTTATTTTGTTTGTTTCTCCTCATTTGTTCAGAAGAATATGTAGATAATTTTTAATGTGGCATGATACAATTGTTGTACTTCCATTTACCTGTGGATTATTTAGGTATGTATTGTTAGATTTCCAAACTCTAGGGATTTTCTAGGTTTTTTTTTTTTAATATTGACATCTAGCATAATTACCCTCTTGTCAGAGAATATTTTCTGAATAATTTGAAATCTTTAAAATTAGTTGTTTTTTGGGGAGGGTGTAGCTCAGTGGTAGAGTGCATGGTTTTCTGGGCTTAATCCCTGGTACCTCCATTAATTAAATAAATGAGCCTAATTACCTCCCCTGCCACCCCCACCAAAAAAATTAGTTGTTTACGTTGTGGTGCTGCATGTAATCAGTTTTGTTAGATGTTTTTGAAAGGAATATTTAATTTGTCATAGTTTGGTACATGCTCTACATTTGTCAAGTTTATCAGGTTTATTAGTTTTGTTGTTCAAATTTTCTGATTTTTCATCTGATTATTCCATCAGTTATTGAGAGAGGTATGTTAAAATCTCTATTTGTGATTGTGGACTTCTCTCCTTTTAATTTTGTCACTGTTTGCTTTATATATTTTGAAGTTATGTTATTAGGTGCTAAATCTAAAACTGTTATATTTTTCCTAAGAGACTGATAATTTTGTCATTACATAGTGTCTCTCTTTATCTAGGAATGTTTTTTCCTAAGACCTGCTTTGTCTGATGTTACTATTGCTGCAGCTGCTTTTTTATATTGCTAATGTTTTTCTATGGTATATATTTCTCAGTCTTTTTATTTTCCACCTCTCTGTGTCCTTATATTTAAGATTTGTCTTTTAAAAACAATGTAAAGTTGCTCTTAAATCCATTCTGACAAGATTTATCTTTTAATGGGGTAATTTATACACTTACATTTAATGTAATTTCTTGTAAATTTTGCTTAATATTTGACTCATTATTTATTTTTGGTTTTCTTTTTTTCTCCCTTTCTTCCTTTCTTTTGAAATCTACATTATTTTAATTGCATCAACAGATAATTAGTTACCTGTTATGTTTATGATACTTGATATTGTGATTGATCCAAACATACATTATACTTAGGTAGCAAGCAAAACTCTTAGTCACAAACTTGTATGTGAAGTACACTTTTTTTAAAAAAATTCTTTAATCTGACTCTTAGGTACCTATGTTCCTAGTCAAATATCTGTCATTATTATTTTTTCCTTACCTACTCCCAGGTCTCAACAGGGGTTCTAGAAAACCCTAAAATAGGGCAACATTCAGGAAAGACCCACTAATTTTCACTCCTTATTGAGCTTCACTGATGTGTCCCAGTGCACAGTGGTTACTCATGTGCCAAATTTCTGTGTATAAAAATTATCTCTTACATTTCATAGTATGTTATATGGCCCCATAGTGTAAAATAGAATTGATAACCATTAGTATGCAGGACAGGCCTGTTATTAATTTTTGATTTTATGTACTTTTTCTTACTAATTAGTGCTTCTCTCTTAGCCTATAATTGTTTCATTTAATCAAAATTTTACTAACATTTATAATTTGAATTTTTACTAATTCAGATATGATATGTCTTCCCTATTATTTTATTCTGAATTAGTATGGCCTTTTAAAGTTTTAAATGAAAATGTTAAAGTACAGTCTGTAATGCAAAGCAGAAATTAGATTTTAATATCACTTTTGCATATAAAGATTTTATTTAATTTTTTGACATGTTAACATTTTTTTTCCAGATAAAGGCTTATGTTCATATAATTCAGGTAAATTTTAGCATGCACAGTGTTTACTGCATGTATTCATATGCACAGTTTAATTGGTTTGTTGTTTTGTGCTTTGTCTGACTATTGTGCATACGTTAAACTGCTAAACAAAGTGTCACTAACTTATTTTTTCTACCTATAGAGCTTTTCCAGTATCTCCATGTTGACATTTTTCTTATTTTGGTATTAAAAACCATTTGTTAAAATATAGTGATTAATGATCTCAGTGTGTCTAATCTTGTCTCCTTTGGAATAGTATTATTTCATCAATAAAGTGTTTTAGTATGTATTGTATTATCACATGCAGTGTTTCAGAACTTTTGAATTTATATGGATATAATTCTTAATTTTTTGACATATGGAGGGATAGTGTTAAAAATCCTAAATGTGTTGAATTAAATAATTAAAACTGCCATGTTTGCTGTAGTTTCCATCAATTTACCATTTTGTCATCTCTTCCAAGGAAAACTAAATAGATTCAGTTTTATTTCTCCAATGTATTATGATCTTTAAATTCACACATGCCAGGGGTATATGTCAAGATATTTAAACTGATATTGAGTTTTTTAACTCATTACTGGACTTTCCTTGGTTTTAACAATGTTAGTAAGGAAGATATTTTAAAATATATTTCTTCTAATGAACTTTTATATTTAAAAATATCACCTTCTTGAATAAAATTAGAAAGAAATTATTAAAAAATCTCAGGAATAGCACAGTGAAGTTTCACTCCCACTGAGGAAGGCTTCCACAGCCATGGTGGAGTAAAAGGGACTGGACTTTCCTTCCTACTTTAAACAACAATGAAAATGGACAAATTTATGAAACAGTTGTTTGAATAACACTGGATATCAGGCAGCTAAGGACAGTAATTACTAAGAGAAGGGAAACAAATGAGTTGAACGCTAAAATTGCCTTTGCCTACCCCTCTTTAAGAGGCTTTCCTGCATACAGCACAGGGGGGAGAAACTCAAATGGAACCTACGGACTTCCCTAATAACGGAATTAGGGACATGGAGCTGAATTCAGGAAGACTGAAGGCTAGAGTTCACAGAACGGACTATTGGAAAGGAGAGAACTGTGCAGAGAGAGAATTCAAAAATCTGCAGAGGGTCCCTCTCAAGGCTTCAGCTGAGTATTGATCAGTGAGTGTGGAATCTACTCAAGGCTGGGGAAAGAACCATCTAAAAGGATTAGAGGTAATATTACCTGAGAATAGTGTCTGTTTTTTCCAGTGAGTCTCGAAACATCAGATTTCACAGGACATTGTGCTGAATATGTAGAAGTGTCTGGCCTCAGTAATGGAGAATATTTACCCCTAAACACTGTATCACATTAAAAAAAATTTTTTTAAGCAAGAACTGAACGGATTAAAATGTTTCTAAGTAAGCAACTCCATGCAGGAGAAAACTTAAGAATATTTATAGGAATAAAAATTCACAATGGCTGGCATCTGATTAAAAATTACCAGGCATGCAGGGAAGAAAAAAAAATGACCCATAAAAAGGACATAAATCACTCTAAACAAGAATTGATATAGATGTTATAATTAGTAGACAAGGATATTAGACAGTTATAGAAGTGTATTCCACATGTTCAAAATGTTAAGTTTGATTGGATCCAAATCAAACATCTAGAAATGAAAAACTACAACGTGTGAAATGAAAATATACTAAATGGCATTAATGACAAACATTCACAGAATAACATTAGTGAGCTTGAAGATTAACAATAGACACTATCTATCCAAAGTATAGCACAAATAGAAAAGAGAATTTAAAAAAACAATGGAGTATCTGTGACGTATGGGCAACTTGAAACTGCCTAATACACAGGTAATTTAAGTCCCTGCAGGAGAAGAGAGGGGAAAAGACACAAATATTGAAGAAATAATGGCTGAAAATTGTTCAGATTTGATGAAAACCATAAACTCACATAGCCAGGAAGTTCACTGAACTCTAAGCACAAGAAACATGACTAACATACCAAGGCATATTAGAATTAAATTCTTTAAAAATTAATAGAAAATTTTACAGCATCCAGAGAAAGCAAAGTCAATACATAACTGAGGAATAAAGATAAAGGTGACTATAGATTTTTTATTGGAGACAGTGCAATTACAAAAAAAAGATGTCAGTCTAGAATCTATAGCCATTCATATTTCTTTCAAAAATGAAGGCAAAATAAAGACTTTCAAACATTCACCCACTAAAAGGTCTCATTAACAGAAGACATGCACTACAACAAATGTTAAAGAAGGGCCTTCGAGCTGAAGAATAAGGATACCAGATAGAGATAAAAAATACGGGTATATATAAAAGAATAAGGAATCCCAGAAATGGTAACTTCATTGGTAAATATATGTTTTTTATTGTTTAAATACCTTTAAATATAATTGACTGTTAAAACAAGTAGCAATATAGTATAGGGTTTGCAATGTATGTTAAATTGAAATATATGACAACAGCAGCACAAAGATTAGGAGAGGAAAAATAGAAGTTTATGACTGTAGTGTTTTTTACATGAATACTATATGATAAGTAGTATATGAATTGAAAGGAGACTGTTAATAAGTTAAATAAGTATACTCTAAGCCCTAAAACCACAAAGAGTTATAGCCTAAAAGCCAGCAGAATAGAAAAAAATATACATTTCATCCAAAAGAATACAGAACAAGAGGAAAATGGAACAAAGAACAGATGGGACAAGTAGAAAATAAATAACAAGTTGATAGGTATAACCCAACCAAATCAATTATCACATTAAATTTAAATAGTCAAAATACCCCCAATTAAAAGCCATACGTTGTCAAATAGGATATTTTTAAAAGTCAAAAATCAGCGATAGACTGCCTACAAGAAATCCATTTTAAATATAAAAATACAAAGAGATTTAATGGAAAAAGATGGAAGAGATATAACACATTGATACCAATTAATAGACATGTGGATTACCTATATTTGTATCAGACAAATTAGATTTTAGAGCAGAGTATTACCAGTGATAAATGTCATTTTATAATTACAAAGGGGTAAATAGAACAGGAGAACATACCAGTCCTCAACGTTTAAACATGTAATAATTAGGTTTCAAATTACATGGAGAAAAATTCTAGAGATTTTTACACTGGATTAATTTTTTAAAACACAGCAACAAAACAAAAATAAAACCAACTATGGTGTTTTGAAAAACTCAACAAAATTTACCAAGAGAAAAGAGACAAAATTGACCAAGACAGAAAAGACAAGAAAATTACTGAAATGCATTTGAAATCATTACCAATTTAACAGAAATTAAAAGGATTACTATGGGACTACTTTGGGGAATCACATAGGAATATAATGGACACCTTTCTACCATGAAGTTAAACAACATGGATGAAATGGGCAAATTTCTAGAAAGTCATAAATTACAGAAACTGATC